TATACATATGGGAAAATCTAATTTTTCGATTGGACGCGCTCAGAAAAGACCTAGGGAGTAAAACCTCAACTGCTTAGCGTTTTATAATATAAGAGATTTATATTAATTAATGCACGTCGGGAGTTCGGGACTATGGCCGATCCCGGTCGTCTCATATTTTTAGTTGGTTGTTGCCTGTCGTCGGCGAATGAACGTATATTCTAAAATTGTGACTTATACTCATTTTTTCCCACACCACACACATCAGACCCAGGTTGTCTACGCCACGGCATGACATAGTAATATATATTTATTACCAGTGGCGTAAATTGGCCTCAATTTCTGGTGGTGCAGAGAAATATTTTATGATTTTTAAAAATCCCCGCCCAATAAACATTTTTTTTTTTTTGTATAACTAATAAATAAGAATTATCTTAACAGTAAAACCTTTATTATTTGTAATTATATAACATTAAACAATTTTTTATTTTAAACTGAGTCGACGTCCTCTTTCAAGACATGTTGCATCAAACTCATCAATTACTTGGTCGAAATCAATGCAATAATTTTTTTCAATTTGTAAATTAGCTAAACTACTTAAACGCTCTTGCCCCATTGTCGTTCTAAGATATGTTTTCAACCTCTTTAGACAGGAAAATGAACGTTCGCAACTTGCTGTGTTAGTTGGTATGGTTAAAAATATTTTTTAAGACTCTGTTATTAATGGAAACCCTTTTTGAATATCATTTTGTCTTATATAATCTATTTTTGCTTCCAATTTTTCAGATACTGAAGTATTGTCATATTTTTGGTTAAACATTCTATTAAAAATTTCCAACTCTGTCTTCAAGTCATGTGTATTGAAGTTATATGTGTCACTAACTAATTTTAATAGATCTTCAGTTGGTTCTTCTGACATAAATATTTCACTTAATCCACTTATAATATCCATTTGATTTTCTTTAAATCTATTTTCCATTTCTTGTATTATTACATCTAAAACCTTAAAGTAAATGGTAATACGGTAATTGTCCTTAACTAGGATACTATTTGACTGTTTCACCACTGTAGCGAGCTGTGACTTTGTTTAAATATTATAAATAACCTGAACAAGAACTCTATATATATAATAGTTGAAGGAGGCCTACAAAGCGCCTATTCGTTATGATAAATTGCGCGTGGCCTCGAAACGTATATGTTCATAGATATATAACTACTTATATGAATATTATTAAAATAGTTCACACTAAAAGTGTTGTGTTGCCTCTGTAGAGATGACAACGACCAGATAAGCAAGGGACATCCGGCGTGTGCAGCGCGTGGCCGCCCACGGTATGACCTTATATGGTAAAGTAGTAGGATAATAGGCATTAGGCAGGGATATGATCCAAGGATCACCATTATAAAAACGTCGCACGAATAGGCTACGGCAGACGGACCAACACCAACGAAGAGCTTTGAGCTAGGATACGAAAGCCGCATCTCGCTAGTCTTCATTATTTAAAATAGTCATTTTGGACTTAGTAAATTTATTGTGTTTTGTATTAATTAAATAAAAAGTATTCAATTTATAAAGAAAAACCAAACTTTTGTTCATTCATTCTCAACACCATCAAACGAGCGTAGTCAGATTGTTACAATTGGCGCTGTGGACAGGGTTTGCAAAAAGAAAAAAATTTTGGAAACGAATATTTTTGAATTATTTCAAAATATTCTAACCAAATTAATTAGAGGAGGCAATTCAATCAAATTGGATCATCGTTGAAAGTTTGATCAACTATCAACAACTCCGCAACAGAATCCTGTCAGCAACATCGATTACGTTCCAAGTCAAATCACATGGAGGTACCAACTACACATACCATGAATCAAGTATCAGCTGCATTGGTGTAAGTATTAATTATAAGTTCGAATTTAAGAATAATTTTGTTGTCCGTCTCCTATGGTATATTTATGACCATAGTATATTTTAATAGCACGCAATAAAAGTGGTAAAATTATAACATTTGAATATACATATTAAGTATTTATTATTTTATTTAGTTGGAATTATTTATCGATCATAAAAATAGACAATAATCAGAATATTTTATATTTTTCTTAAATATTTAAAAAAATTTTTAGTAACACAAATAATTAGATTAAATTAAATTAAATTTAAAAAAAAAAATAATAATAATAATTAAATAAAAAAAATAAATATATATTTAAAATATAACAAATAAAATAAATAATATTTCAATAAATTAAATTAAATTAAAATATTTTTTTTTTAAACAAAAGAAATACAAATAAATACTAAATATAAATATTTTGTAAGATCTTATTGCGTTGTTAATAAAATTAAATTTTGTTAGGAATAAAGTTAAAAAAATAAATAAAAGGGTAAATTAGTGAATAAAGTTAATATTATTGTGAATTATATTGGGAATTTAATAAGAGTTATATTAAAAGAGAATAAGAGATATTAAATTGAGAATTGTTTAAAAAAATTGAGAGTTAAAAAGAATTTTATTGAGAATTATATTGGGAATTTAATAAGAGTTATATTAAAAGAGAATAAGAGATATTAAATTGAGAGTTAAAAAGAATTTTATTGTGAATTATTGAGAATTAATTGAGTATTTTATTTAAAGGCCGTGTGGTAAGTCCTTGTGTATTGAATTTATTAGACAAGTTGAAGCCTATTTTATTGGGGAATTTTTAAGGCCGTGTAGTAAGTCCTTCTGTGTTGAATTTTATTAGACAAGTTGAAGTCTATTTTTTATTTGGGGAATTTTTAAGGCCGTGTAGTAAGTCCTTGTGTTTTGAATTTTATTAGACAAGTTGAAGTCTAATTTTTGTTGAATTTTATAGGCCGAGTGGTAAGTCCTAATTTGAGAAATTTTTATTGAGTTTATATTTGTGAGTTTTATTTAAAGGCCGAGAAGTAAGTCCTTCATTATTGAGAATATTGAATTTATTGTTGTGAATTTAGGCAAGTATAAGTCTTACGAATTAATTAATTAAAGGCCGGAAAAAGTCCTTTTAGTGAAAAATTATAGAGAATTTTATTGAAGTTATTAAGGCCGGAATAAGTCCTTAGATATTATTGAGAGATATTGAATAAATTAAATTGAGTTTATAAGGCCGTGTTAAGTCTTCAAATATATGTTGAAAATTATATTGAAGTTTTAATTGTGAATTAGAAAAATTTGTAAGGCCGTAATAAGTCCTAATTTAAAAAAAAAAAAATATTTTAAGAATAAGTAATTAAAGGTAAATTAGATAATTAAATTAAATTAATTGAGTGACAAGTTATTGAAGTATAAGGAATAAAAATATAATAATTATTGAATTAATTAAAAGTAAGTTGTATTTGTTAGTACGTATTAAAATTATAATCGTGGAAAATATTACGATTTAAATTTAATTTAATGAATAAATTAATTTAATGAGTCAAGGAAATAAAAATAAGATAAGTGAAAATAAAAATTTGGTAACAGAAGTTAAAGAGGTTGAAGAAACCAAAAATAAAGAAATAATTGACGAAGCAGTAATAAGCGATAATATTAGTGAAATAAAAAATATTGAAGTAAAAGTAAATATAAAAGTAACGATAAAACAGTAGAAAGTAACGAATTATTAATTGATTTAAGTACAGACGAGGGATATCAATATTCGGTAGATTTAAATGAGGAAAAATATTTAGAATCTATACGAGAAAAAGAGTTACATAATAAAAGTATCCGACCTATTATAGTTAACGAAATTGAATTACGACAAATAGGCACTCGTTCAAAGAAAGGAATAGAACATATTCAGTTAGAACCCCTTACAAGAAAACCGAAAATCAAAATGTCTGGAACCAAACTTCCTTTAGAAAAAGCCACTATTATGATTCCAACATGTACAGGAGAAAGAGACGTGTATCAATTCATAAATGCATGTGTTTTAGCATGTTCAGCGGTAGACAAAGATGATTTACCTATATTAATGAAATTCATAAATACAAAATTATTTGACCAGGCCCTAAACGTATGTAGATATAGGGACATGTCAGATTGGGAAGGAGTGAAATTAATTTTATTGGACGCTTTCGAACCACAAAGTTCCTCGTCGACATTACAGGTAGCGTTAAATTCCGTACGTATGCGACCAAACGAAGACGTTAGTTCGTATGCTAGACGCGTAGAACAATTATATTTTAACTTATGCGTAGCGAGTACTAAGGGCAAAACAACAGATCAGGCCACAGTATTAAGGGATCAACTAAAAGAACAAACATTGGTAGTATTTATAAAAGGTTTAACACCTAGTTTAAAAACAATAGTAAAATCACGTAATCCACCTACTTTAGAATTGGCAATTTAAATAGCCAAAGATTAGGAAACCGAATTGAAATCTGAGTCGGATGCATATCAATACTATGGTAATCAAAATAGAAATAATAATAATAATAACAATAATAATAATAATTATAACCGACTTAATAATAATAATTTTGAGAATAATAATCGCTATAATAATAATCACAGACAAAATAATAATAATTTCAATAATAATAATTATCAGCGACAAAATTTTAATCCGAGAGGGAATAATAATAATTTTATTAGACCGCAATATAGACCGGATGTGAATCGAAATAATAGAAATAATATGCAAAATAATCAATATTCGCCGCGTAATACAAATAATTATAATTATAATAACATCCAATGCTATCAGTGTGGAGGAAATCATTACGCACGCGATTGTAATATACGACGAAATAATAATCCGCGGGGGGGCTATAATAATCCGGAAAGTATATGTCCGGACCGTATAATTCCGGAATATATTTATCCGGACCGTATTTCGACGGAATCCAAAAAATATAAGCCGTATTTTAACGGAACGTATAGTTCCGGAAAGTATATGTCCGGACCGTATAATTCCGGAACGTATTTATCCGGACCGTATTTCGACGGAATCCAAAAAGTATAAACCGTATTCTTCCGGAACGTATTTGCCCGGACTCTTAGGGCTAGTATTACAATCATGGGTTACCCTCCGATCAGTGTTTAACGGACTGTAAGATGAAATAACCAGTATTACAAACTCCGGTCCACTCTGTTACTGACCGTTAGCTTCCGGTTACGCTTACCAGCCGATATCGGCTGGTTAAAAAATGTGATGTACCGTTAAAGCATCTGATTGGTTATTAAATTGTTATGTTTTTGTGATTATTTTGTTATCATTATCATTATTAATTATTCCTCAATACAACAATCTAAATTTTATTGCGAACAATATTATTATTTAATTTTGTTTTCGGTTTTCGATTTCCCGACTATATTTATATTTATTTATATTTATATTTTATTATAAAATAGTATATGTTGTACTATTACTATTTTTACTATGGACGCACAAGACTATATGGATGTTGACGACTATTCAGACACCGACGAAAGTGACGAAGCAATCGATGATTTTGATCATTTGGCGGAAATTGTGGCTTTCCCTAGGCGTGCTAAAATTATTCGCAAACGACCGGATCATTTTAAAGTATGGAGAGATGATGAGTTTTTGAATAGGTTTCGTTTGAACAAAGATACCGTCAAGTTTCTCCTACGTATAATAAAACCAAAAATTGTATCACAAACCAGTAGGTAAGCGTGTATTAAAAGATTTTTTTGTTCAGTTATTTGATATACTATTTGTTTATTTTGTTGCTCCTCCAATTTAAAATTGATCTATGTTATAGTAGTCCGTAACCTGCAAATTATGAATCAATACCAACTATTATAAGGTTTCTTATAATAATATAATTTGAATCAAACCTAAAACGTCACATCCTAATTCTCTCATCCACATCTCTAACATGTTACATCCTAATTATGCATTTAAATAAGTTTAACACTTGTGTAATAAATAAAATATTGCATTTAATATGTTCCTTGTATTGGATTTTTTCCAATTTTTACTATTCTACATCTTGTTGGTGTAGTACATCCAATGTGTGTTGATTGTTTTACTTGCTTGGTCGATTTTCTAAAATATTTTACCAAGAAGTTGTAGGCTGAACATTTATTTTGATAGGAAAAATGTTTACCTGGAAAATCTATTGATTTTGGACCACCTCCACACACTTTTTTAAAATTACTTGAGATAGATTTTAATGTGCTGCTTATTTTTCCAATTTGAATAGTAAATTGGTAAACATAAGCAGTAAGCACATATATCCAACATACTTTTATAATCTATTTGTTTATCAATTTTTATTTTATATTAATAGTATAGTCTGTAATTGTATAAATTAATATTTTACAGAAATAATGCAGTAACACCTAGTCAAAAACTGTTGATGACGTTGAGGTATTATGCAACTGGTTCTTTCATAGCAACTTGTGCAGATTTTGCTGGAATTCATAAAACTACTGGTGGTAAAATTATAATCGAAGTGTCAAAGGCCATAGCAACACTTAGACCGGATTTCATTCATTTTCCAACAACTGATGATGAAATACGTAAAGTTAAGCAGGATTTCTTCAATATTGCGAAATTCCCATCGTGTATTGGAGCGATTGATTGTACTCATATAAAAATTAGATCACCAGGTGGTAATGATGCAGAAATTTTTCGGAACAGGAAACAATTTTTTTCTATGAACGTACAAACTATTTGCGATTCAAAATTGATAATACAAAACATAGTTGCTAGGTGGCCAGGTAGTAGTCATGATGCGAACATATTTCGGAACTCTGCTATTAAACAACGTTTTGATAATAGAGAGTTCAAAGATTGTGTTTTAGTGGCTGACAGTGGATACCCAATGCAGTCTTATATGATTACACCTATGTTAAACCCAATTACTAACGTTGAAAATACTTTTAATGAGTCACAGATCCGTACTCGAAATCCAATAGAAAGATCATATGGTGTCTGGAAGAGACGATTTCCAATATTGAGTTTAGGAATAAATGTAAGAAACTTGGATACAGTACAAGCCATTATAGTGGCTACAGCAGTACTGCACAACATTGCTCGTCAGTTTGGAGATGATGAGCCTAGAGTTACTGAAGAACAAGAAAATGAAATTGCATTAACGTTACTTGAACAACCTCATGATATCAACGATCAAGGAAGAAATCAATCAATACATAGAAACCGCTTTTTAAATTATTTTAATACTTTATTGTGACCAGATTGAACAAAATAAAAATAAAATTGTAAAACATAAAATCAAAAGCAATGCTAGTTTTCTCCTTATATATTTATCTACTTGTACATTTTAAATTAGAAATAAAGGAAATTATTATTTAAAAAAAAAATGTATTTATATATTATTTNCAAATATTTAACATGTAATAAAAATAACAATAGTATTTAACAATTAACAAGTACTGAATAATATAAAATAATCAAAAAAAACTGTATTTATACATTAATAAATATTTTGTCTAATTTGATAAATAACAAATTCCTTAGTGGAAGACAAATTTCATAATCATAAATGTAAGTACAAATATTTAACATGTAATAAAAATAACAATAGTATTTAACAATTAACAAGTACTGAATAATATAAAATAATCAAAAAAAACTGTATTTATACATTAATAAATATTTTGTCTAATTTGATAAATAACAAATTCCTTAGTGGAAGACAAATTTCATAATCATAAATGTAAGTACAAATATTTAACATGTAATAAAAATAACAATAGTATTTAACAATTAACAAGTACTGAATAATATAAAATAATCAAAAAAAACTGTATTTATACATTAATAAATATTTTGTCTAATTTGATAAATAACAAATTCCTTAGTGGAAGACAAATTTCATAATCATAAATGTAAGTACAAATATTTAACATGTAATAAAAATAACAATAGTATTTAACAATTAACAAGTACTGAATAATATAAAATAATCAAAAAAAACTGTATTTATACATTAATAAATATTTTGTCTAATTTGATAAATAACAAATTCCTTAGTGGAAGACAAATTTCATAATCATAAATGTAAGTACAAATATTTAACATGTAATAAAAATAACAATAGTATTTAACAATTAACAAGTACTGAATAATATAAAATAATATTCAAAATCATCAAAAAAAAAAAGTCCACTACAAATCACTGAATTTTAATTTTATACTGGATTTTTGCAATGCAAGTAGTTCCATTTCTGATGCATGTTTTTCTACTTGAAACTTTATCCTATCTTTTACTTCTTGTAATAATTCCTGTTCTCGATTTATTTTCAGCTTCCATATTTCTCTTTTAAATTCTACTTCTTCGCTTTGTAAGTTTGATTCTTGCTCTGTCAGTGAAGCTTTTTCATGTGCCCATTTTGATAACTTGTCTTGAAAGAGCCTCTTTCTCTTTGTCGGGCCTAAAATCATTAATAATTCGTACAGTTTATTTGAACAATGAGATAATTTTAAAATTACATAAACACATTTTTCAATAATTACCTGATTTAGAAAGTTCAACATTGTCATGTGGGGATGTTCTTTCAAACGATAATGGAGCGGATTTTGGCTGCCTTAGCATTCCAGGTGTATATTTTGCCCAAGACATTCCTGACAAAAGTAGTGAATGAAAAATGTATCTAATAAGCTAGTTATAAACAAATGTATGGTAAAAATATAAACAAAGTACAAAATAAATCTTTACCAGGTTCAATGGACTCATTTTGAATACAACTATCTGAAGTCTGCTCTTGGAATGTGCTATCTTGATCATAATCACATCTCACTACTTCTACTTGATACTCATCTACTCCATCTATTTCAATTTGATTAGTGTTTGAAACTATCACTAAAATGAATATCATAAAATACATTAATTGTAATACGTCACATTAATACATTTTTAACTTTGACTAATCAGAAGTAGCTACTAGATTCTATTTGCTACCAGACACTATCCTCAACGTTTAAAATATTTTTAAAATTTAAATTACAAACTGAGTACCTATATTAAATTCATGAAATAATAAATTAGGAGGTGGAGTTGCCACCTATGGCCACCTTAAGAATTTTTTTTCTATTGATATTTATTTATTCTATATTAAATGGTCATTGAAAAAAAATGAAAATTTAACTGTCAATACTTCATAAGTTCACTTATACTTGGTTTGAATTTCAAAGTCTTAAGAACATTATTGAATGAGAAATTTGTATTAATATTTTAAAATATGCATTTTCCCCTCCTATGGCCAACGTAAAAATATTTTTTATTTTATTTAAAAATGTACATTATTAATACCTATATATAATATATAAATAATGAAAGTTAAGTAATAAAATTATTAAATATAAATATTACTCTGGCCTGTTTAAATCTCAATTAATCTAAATTAATTTTTATATCTAAGTATTTATTACCTTCATCGTCACACCAGTTGGAAATCAATCCTGATGCTCTTGTACCCAAAAGAGCCAATACGCGTTCATCAACAGAACCAAAATCTTCCAAAACAGCTTTACCACCTCCAGTGCTTGAAAGTTGCTTTCCATTTTGCACTTTTTTTTTCTGAGCTCGTCTACATATATTTTCGAATTTGCATTTCAAGACACTCGCTGGTCTAAATTGATCTGTAATAACTGCGTTGAACTCGGATTCTATTTTTGCCCAGTGTTCTTTCTTTTTCCTGTAATGTAATATTTGGACCAGTAAGTAAAAAGAACGTGATAACTATTAAATATTATAAAGAAACAAAAGAAACTTACATATTATTCACGTGGTCGGTAGTCTTACACTGAATAACAGACCAGTGTTTCGAAATTAAATTCATCAGTTCTTCTTCCTCAGCAAAACTAAAGTTTTTACTTTTTGATGTTTTTTTATCCATGTCGTATATTAATTAACACGTTCACTAATTATAAAATTACCTATTTTATAAATGTTAACTTTAAGTTTAAAATTTAAAATAAAACTAGTAATGAGCTTATGACACGCAGTGATATCTGGATAACAGTTTAAACTTTTTTAATGATAGTGGCGGTCAAAACAGTGGATTACCGAATCGAACTCTGACGGGGTATTGTTATACTACTTTTCTGATAACGGACCGTAAAAGACAAAACCGCGGTTAAATTGATAACCGAGGCGTAAACGGACGATCAGGTAACCGAAGATATAATCATGTATTGTAATACTGGCCCTAAATAGATAGTGTGGTGGCCCACAACAACAACCGCGGTATCAGCACGCCCCTCCGCTCAATTTAACACTGCCTCCATGACGCGACTACTGCCCACCGACGAACTCCCCCACTAGTCGTACGTACGTCGTCGTCAACGTCCCGTAATGTAAAAAAAACCGAACGCCCGACAATATTGTATAAAACCACGTGATTTATTTTTCTAGTTGTAATTGTTAAATTCAAAATCCCTGTAAATAAAAAGTTATTGTTTTACCTGTCATATTAAAACCAATTATATTTCAACCCGTAATTCAATACGTTTTCTTTTTATTTAAATATTGGTAACCCTAACGACTCATCCTACCAAATTGGTGACCTCGACGTGATCCAACACGCAGCACGCCCGGAAGACCAATGCGAGCAAATCGAAGGTTCCGACGTGCTAATCTGGTGACCATTCTCACCCTTTCTTGTTGTACCACCACGTGTTTTACATTTTTTCGACTCACGCAATGAACCTGTTAGACGTTTTTGCCGCCGACGGCGAACTTCTGAACGAAAATCGCGTCGACCCGAACGCAAACCCGAACGCTGCGTCCGCGCAACAACAGCCGTTACAGGTTCCCGGTCTGATACCGCCTCCGCAAAATATTTCCGCGATCGAACACGTTCGACTTCCCGGATTTTGGCGTCACTCACCACAGCAATGGTTCACACACGCCGAAGCTGTCTTCCATGATATACCCAAGACCGCAGTTACCACGCCGTTCGGATTATTTGAGTTTCCTGTGATGTGCTTCGGCCTGCGAAACGCGGCGCAGACGTTCCAGCGCGTTGTCAACGAAATGCTGCGCGGTCTCGACTACGCCTTCGCGTACATCGACGACGTCCTCATCGCGTCACGTGATGAAGCCGAACACGAGCAACACGTCCGCGCAGTATTAAAGCGACTTCAAGATTTCGGCATGTCGATAAACCCCGCTAAGTGTGTTTTTGCCGTCACCTCGCTAACGTTCCTGGGCCACGTTATTAACAAGGACGGCTGCCAACCCAACCCAGACCGCGTCGACACTATCCACCGATGGCCACTTCCGGCGACCAAAAAAGGCCTACAGCGGTTCCTAGGGTCGGTAAATTTCTATCGTAGGTTCATCCCGAACGCCGCGGAGATGCAAACCACGCTGTACAACTTAGTAGCGCAAGTTAAGAGAAAAGACGGACCGTTACAGTGGAACGACAGCACCCGCTCCGCATTCGATACCTGCCGCACAGCCCTCGCCGCCACAGCAAACCTAGCCCACCCTAAACCAAACGCAGAACTACGCCTCAGCACAGACGCGTCCAGCACATCGATTGGCGCCGTAATTGAACAAAGAGACGGTAACGACTGGCAACCACTCGTTTTCTTTTCGAGGAAGCTCACCGACGCAGAAACGCGGTACAGTACGTATGTCCGTGAGTTGCTCGCGGCATATAGCAGCACCCGCTACTTCATCCACCTCATCGAAGGCCGCCTAACCACTTTATTCACGGACCACAAACCACTCACATTCATGTTCACCTACAAAAGTGAGAAGTACGTAGACAGACAGGTGCGTCAAATATCATTTTTATCGCAATACATTCACACAGTGGAACACATTCAAGGCACCGACAACGTCGTACCCGACGCATTGTCGCGACTCGAAACAGCCACATTGCAAAGCGGATCGCCCGATCCGGCTCAATGGTCAAAAGCTCAAGCGGACGACCCGGAGCTACAA